ACAGAATTCTGGGTATCAGGGTACATGGCTCCTTTGGAGAACTGGGGTTAAGATTCCCCTCAGCAGAGCTTGACATTGTGCATTATCTCCTTTAAGCAAGGAAAAGCAAATTCATGTTGTCTCCAGTAATAGAATCCACAGACCTCTGGCATCCAGGCAGAAAAGTATAATACAAAGTAGTCTTTCCTAGGAGACCTTGGCAGCAATGCAAACTACTACAAAACAAGAGTGCCATATTCGGCCATCTCAGGCACCTGAAGCTTCGATCTCCACTACAAAAGTAATTTACCCCTCAGGTTGACAGTCCTATTGTGCTTTCAAACTATTCCACACAGTGAAGAGCATTTCCAAGACTAAGGTGCTTAAACAATAAGGCCTTTATTATTATACAAATCAGAGTAACATGCAATAGGCAATTTCTGGTTTGGTGACTTGAAAGCCGGAAAACTCCATCACAAGCACTACCTGAGACCAACTGTGTTCCTATAAGTTAGTTCACTGCAAGGACTCAGATAGCAGTCTTTGAGCCAACATAGGGTCAGGTCCAGGCCCTAACTTGTCATAAAAAAGGGAATGAAGACTTCTTAAGGGCTGACGATACTCATAATTTCCTCCAACACAGAGGAGAGTACAGAGGCCAGTTGCTCTGAACACACCAGGGTGGTGACTGATGCCAACCATCAGGACATGCCAGATGCTAGAGGTGAGATGGTTTCTGGCAAAGAAACTGGCAGTGAACCTGGCAGGTTACACGTACTTCCCACACAACCGTGAAATTTACAGTGAATCAATCTCCAGTCTGTGGACATCCCAATATGAGATTTAACTTAAGTGGATGGTTCCTCACAGACGCTTACCTCCACCACAACTATACTAAGGAAGGAAAAAACATACATTCAATGTGTATACAAGGCCTTTTCCCACTGTGAATTCTCTGGTGTTGACTGACATTAGATTTGCAGCTAAAGGACTTCCTGCATTCACTGCACATGAGCTCGCCTGTGTCAAAGGAGACTATAGTGCTGAGTAAAAGATTTCCCACATTCATTGCACTTAAAAGGCCTTGCTACAGTGTGCACTGTTCGGTGTTGAATGAGGACAGATTTCTGACTAAAGGATTTCCCACATCCACTGCACTCATAAGGCTTTCCTCCAGTGTGAACTCTTTGGTGTTGAACAAGGAGAGATTTCTCACTAAAAGATTTTCCACATTCAAGGCATCCATAAAGTCTAACTCCAGTGTGAACTCTCCAATGTCGAATGAGATGGGTTTTACTGATAAATGATTTCCCACATTCACCACACTCATAAGGCCTTGCTCCAGTGTGAGCTCTTTTGTGTCAGAGGAGGCCAGAACTTTGGTTAAATATCTTCCCACATTCACTGCATTTATAAGGCCTTTCATTAGTGTGAACTCTCTGGTGTTCAATGAGAATGGATTTCTGGATAAAAGATTTCCCACCCACTGCACTCATAAGACCTTTCTCCAGTGTGAACTTTCGGTGTTGAATGAGATTGGATTTCTGGCCAAATGATCTCCCACAGTCACTGCACTCATAAGGCTTTGCTCCAGTGTGAACTCTCCAGTGTCGAATGAGGTGGGTTTTATGGCTAAAGAATTTTCCACGTTCACTACACTCATTAGGCCTCTCTCCAATGTGAATTTGCTGGTGCTGAACAAACCTGTATCTGCATTTGTCACACACATCAAGACCCTCTCCAGTGCAAACTCTCTGGTGGTGAAGTGTATGAGTGTTGCCAAAAACTTTCTTGCATTCAATCCACTTCTGATAACTTTCTCCATTGTTGAAGGCCTCCTCACACTCAATGCTGCTGGGTGGCTTCTCACTGTTGAGAGAGGTGTGGTGCTGAGGAAGGCCCAAGGTAGCTAGGAAGTCCTTTCCACTCTCCTCACTAGGGAAAGGCTTCCCTGACACATGGAAAATGCAACTCGTCACAATCGAGGCCCTGTTCATGTCCATTTTAAAGACTTTCTCTCCACTGCCATGCTCTTGGTACTGGTGAAGGTTTCAGTTCAACCAGAAGCCTCTGGACCACCCACCAAAGTATGGTGTCTGCCCAGGATATGCTGCTTGGAGCTCAGTCAGCTGCAAAATATCTTTCAAGACTGGGACACATTTCTCACATAGATGAATCTTCTGGGTCGATGGACCTGACTGAGAAATCCTGACCTGTGACTCTCCTACAGAAAGGCTATGCTCAGAAGGTATCACTTCATCCTCCTCCGTTTCACACCAACAATCTAAAAGCAGAGAAACACTAATAATGTGCATGTGAGCTTTAGTGGGATATGGAAGTCCCACAGAAAGGCATGTCACACACATACATTCAGGCCAGAGAAAGAAGCCATGTAAATGTTCTCAGGATGAGGCACTGATTTGAAGGGAGGGCTGCTCTGCAGGGACATGCCTCTAAAGATCACAGAAGGGAGACTTTCCAGAACAAAGGGCATAAATATGAATGCCACATGAGGAGGAGAGGCAAGATCAATGACTCACTCCTCTGCCAACAACCTTCAGCAAGATCTTGTCAGCTGACAACATGTCCATACTACGCAGAAGGATGGCAGTGTCCAGGCCCATGGAAATACAACTGGAACTGAGCAGCTGGGTCCAAGGACTATTTAAGAATATGCACACACCTCACTTTACAGACATACCTCATTGTCATGGCACTTTGCCCTATTGCCCTTTGTAGATACCACATTTTTTACCAATTGAAGGTCTGTAGCGATGCTAAGTCCAGCAAGTCTATGGGTGCCAATTTCCCTATAGCATTTGCTCACTTTGTGTCTCTGTGTCACATTCTGGTAATTCTCACAATCTTCAAACTATTTCAATATTATTATAGCTGTTATGGTGCTCTGGGAATCAATGATCTTTGATGTGACAACTATGAGTCACTGAAGGCTCAAATAATGGTTAGGATTTTTTGGCAAAAAAGTACTTTTTAATTAAGGTAGGTATATTGTTTTTTAGACATAATTTTATTGCACACAATATACTAAAGGATGGTATAATAACTTCTATATGTACTGGGAAACAAAAAACTTGTGTGATTCACTTTATTGCAATGATCTGGAAATGAATCCACAACATCTCTGAGGTATGTCTATTAAGTGTAAGTCACTGTGGGAGAACCACAGAGGGTGCAGGGGAGACGAAAGTGACGCATGCAGATCAGAAAGGTGGGGACAGTCAGAAACTGAAATGACAAACCAAGAAAGTGTCAAGTATGCAGAAAAAAGTGTTGAGATGATCTGTGTCCAGTGTCATTCGCAACAAAACACTGGTGGTCACACAGTAAGTTCCTAGTATGATTTTTTTTTTTTTTGAGGATTTAATCCTGTACTTTCTTTGTAATTTACATTTCTGAATAGGCAATACATTTAAAGTTCTGTAACAAAGCAAACAAAACAGTCATGCTGTGAAAAGTCTCCCTCCCCTTTGCCTCCATCCATTTAGTTTCTACCTCCCTAAATGGGTACTACTCTAAATATTTCTCACGTTGCCTCCGTGTGGCTCTGGAAGGCACCACGAAAAACACACACTCACACGTATATATATTTATCAGTTCAGTCCAGTCACTCAGCTCTGTCCTACTCTTTGTGACTCCATTGACTGCAGCACGTTAGGCTCCCCTGTCCATCACCTGTCAATCACCAACTCTCAGAACTTGCTCAAACTCATGTCCATCAAGTCGGTGATGCCATTCAACCATCTCATCCTGTCGTCCTCTTCTTCTGCCTTCAATCTTTCCCAGCATCAGTGTCTTTTCCAATGAGCCAGTTCTTTGCATTAGGTGGCCAAAGTATTGGAGTTTCAGCTTTAGCATCAGTCCTTCCGATGAGTATTCAGGACTGATTTCCTTTAGGACGGACTGGTTTGATCTCCTTGCAGTCCAGGGAACTCTCAAGAGTCTTCTCCAGCACCACAGTTCAAAAGCATCAATTCTTCAGCGCTCAGCTTTCTTTATAGTCCAACTCTCACATCCACATGTGACTACTGGAAAAACCATAGGTTTGACTAGACAGACCTTTGTTGGCAAAGTAATGTCTCTGCTTTTAAATATGCCCTCTAGGTTGGTCCCTAGTATGATTTAAACACAACCTCCTTTTCATCCCCTCACCTCCTTTGACATTCACTAGAGCCGGGCCTTCTTTGAGACCATCTTGCCCTGTTCATACTGTAAAGAAATCAGGGCTCCCCCCATATCCCCCCCGCCCCCAGTTACATTTCTGAAACTACATGACACCTGAATGAAACATGTCCTTAGGGAAAGACAGGAAATGTCAGCTCTGGTCCAGAGGAACTCAGGAAATAAGAGACCATAGGAGAGGAAAGAATATTACAACGAAACCTCAAGACAGGGTCTTTCAAGAAAAACCTCTATATAGATAGTGACCATGACAAGGTCTAGAATTCCTGATATAGGCAGTTACAAGGAAGTCTTAAAATTAAAAGTTCTCATCACAAGGGGAAAAAAAAAAATGCAACTCTGTATGGTGATGGATATTAACCAGACTTTGTGAGCATTCTGCAGTATATACAAACATCAAATCTTTATGTCAAACACCTGAAACTAATATGTCCTATGTCAGTTATATCTTAATTTAAAAAAAAAAAAAAAAAAGGAAAAGAGAAGAATCTGGGTCACAGGGTGTCATAGACATGGACAGTCATCCAACCAAGGAGAGGGCAGGAAATGTGAGCTCTATTAGGCTGACTGCCAGACTGACTCCCAGAGCCTTCCCTGCATGCCTTGGGGTAGCAGACGTTGGGGCTGCTTCAGGAGCACAGTGCTTGGGGCAATGCACACAGCTCAGCACTGGCACCAACAGCACATATGCCAGGAAGGGGGGAAGGTAGCAGAGACCACGGTCCAGCTGTGGAATGGACAGAGCTGTCTCCTGGAGAGAGGGAAAGATGGGAAAACACAGAGGTCAGTTGAGGACACTGGGAGGAATATGAAGGCCTTACCCAGGGACGTTGTGAGTGCAAAGTTCTCCAGCATCACATCACAATACAGGAACCTCTGTGTCTCATTAAGGAGCCTCCACTCCTCCTGGGAGAAGTAAATGGCCACATCTTCAAAGGTCACACAGGCCTGCCATGATAGGGACAATTCGTTCCATGATCAGCTTCTTCCATAGGACCCCAAGTTCATCCACCCACAGTCCAACCCTGCTCACCCGCCTCCCCATTTCCCCATCTCAGAGGAGATACCAGGCCTGGTGACTCTGACGCGCACATTCTTCTCGTGGTCCGTTTGATTACTTTATCCACCCACAGCAACAGCAGGTGGGCAGACAGAGGACCCCCAAGCTCTGGGCCTGGCATGCAGGGACTTCTCAGCTTCCAGAAATGAAAGCATTTTAACTCCAAACTTCCCACCGACAGGTGGGCTCCCTCCACCTGTCACCCTCTCCCGGGAGCCATCAGTCAGTCACAAGATCCCACCCACAGCCACCTCCCCGTCCCGGACCCCGGCGCCTGGGCTGCCGGCACGTGAGCACTCGGGGCTTTAGTGTCTGGTGGGATGAGGGCGGTGCGGGCGCTGAGGACCAGATTTACCTGAGGCGGCTCCCTCAGCGCTGCCTCCGCCATCGGACTCAGTGGGAGGAGCGGGGCCAGGAGCGGCTGGAGAGGCGGCGGGACGCGGGAAGAGCGGTTTCGCTCCTGGGCCTGGGGCGGCAAGAGTCTCCCTTCGGACCCTCTCGATCGGCACTCGCCGCTCCGGAACCCGAGACCGGGCGATGGCGCCCAAGGGCCGACAAAACGACCGCCACCGGGAGGATGCCGGAAGTCCCGGCCCAACGCGATGCTCACACAGGAAGTGCACTTCTCCTGAGTTCTGATCGGCTTAACGCCGAAGGCGATCGGGGCAGGATCCTCTGGGAAATGTAGTTCTCCGGAGTCCTGCTGGGAAAAAGACTTCTGAAAGGACACATATATCTGGAAGGCTGTGATCCATGGCCGTTTTTGCTGGATATAAATAAGCCCAGCCTCTGGAACCAGAGGGAGCATACAGCTCTTCTTAAAAATGTGTGCTCGAAATGAATTCTAAATATCTAGGTAAAAGATGTGCTCATGTGTACAGAGCAAAGAACAACAATGCAACACCTGATGGAAAACAGAACAAAACCAGAGTAATCTGGGGGAAATATCTCGTGTTCACAGAGACAGTGGCATGATTTGTTCCAAATTCCTAAGCAACCTTCTTGCTAACACCAGTGGACATAGAATCTGTGTGATGCTATACTCCTCAAGGATTTAAACCCATTCAAACATAAATAAATAAAAGTGTGGAAAGAACAACCAAAAAAAAAAAAAATGGGGTCACCAAAATCTGATCTCTTTGATGAGAACTGATTATTGTCATAGTCTGGGTGCAGGTTGGAAAAGAATTTCCAAACATGAGACAGAATGAGCAGGAAATAAAGTTTATTAGAATGGGAGATTTTGTTAGAACAGCGGGCCAGCTCAAGGGAGAACTGACGTTGAACAGGGGTTCTTAGTCCACTTTTATGTCTAGGGTACAAGGAGTGGGATAGGGGTCTTGCCGGTCATTTGCTGATTGGATGAGGCGTGTATATGTGGGGGAAGAGGAGGGCAAATACCTTCTCTTTGTGGGGTAGGAGGGAAGACAGGTTATACAGTTCCGTTAATAGACACAGCATGGGGGAGGGAAGGATGATAAGGGTCTGGTTTTTCCATTCCAGAGTTTCAAGACCCTCCTTGGTTTTATCTGCTCTTACATCCTTGTGTCAACACAACGATCATTCCTACTGTTATTGCAACGATTGCATCTGCGTGGGGAGTGGAGATGATTCCAGAAAACATTGTGAAATGAAAATCACTGAAAGCTGTTAACGTAGTTTTTCAAAAACAGTGGCTGGATAGCTCTGGCAACATATCTACAGAGAATTGAAAAAAAAAAAAAAGATCTCAAAGAAAACTGAACAGGACATGTTGAGTCTGAGAATCGACAGTTATCTGAGCAGTGGCTATGTGGAAACTTTGTCCACTCAGGATTTTGTCTTAGAAATTTGATTATTTTTTCATTCTTTAATACAGTAATACTTTGAAGTATAGTTTTAAGACTTTTCAAGTAGCCTTAAAACAGTAAAAACTTAAAATGGATAGGAATCTGGGGTGTCATGTTCATTCAATTCTTTAATAATTAAGTGTTTAATAAAAAATTAAATGTTCAATGCGTATCCACTGATTTTCAAGCTCTATTGTAGCTTTGTATTTATGTAAAGATTATTGCCACATCCCACACAGCCGTAAAGCCTTTTTCCAGTGTGAACTCCCAAGTGGTCACTGAGATGGGAGTTTGGCTAACAGATTTGCCCTATTCCTTATCCTGCAGATAAGGTCTTTCCCAGTGTGCACTGCCTAGAGCTGAGCACCTGAGCACTTGCTGTGAAAGCTTCCTTACATTTGCTAGACTTGTGAAGCCTTCGCCTAACGCAGACTCTAAGATGGTGATCAAGAACGTTTTTGTGGCCAGAAAAAGTGACCTGATGAGGCGCCTCTTATTCTCAGGACGCGGATGGGGGCAAGGTGGGGTGAGGACATGGAACACCCCGAATTACAGGACGAGGGTTGCTCAGCACGGTGACTGCCATCCCCAGGTGTGGGCTGAGCGGGATCTCTACGGGGAGGAGGAGGAGAACAGGATCCAAGCACATCTGTTATTCACCGTCGTTGACCTTCAGACATATCTCCGTGAAGTTGACGGTGGGGCGTGAAGTTTCTCTCGAGCCTTCCTGCGGCCAGACACCACACTCTTGAAGCTATGATGGAGTGTACAGACCCAGCAACAGACAATGACCGCCACCTGCGTGATGCCGGAAGTCCTGCCCCAAGCCCACGGTCCAGACACTCCGCATTACCCAGAGTTCCCACCGCTCTATAGGCTTTGGCAAGGGGCGCGCTGCGTCAGCCACAGGGAACAAGTGTAAACCGGCCCTACGAGGGACAATGGGCGTGAGTTTGAGAAACTCCGGGAAATAGTGAAGGACAGGGAGACCTGCGTGCTGCAGTCCGTTGCAAAGAGTCAGACACCACTGAGCGACAACAGGGGCAATGGGAAGTGGCGCTGCCAACTTCCAGGAGCAGAGGAAGAACTTAACTCCTTTTAAAAGAGGTCAAAGACTGATTTCTGGGAATCTTGTTGTAGATCACCAGAATGTTGAGAAGTAAATCTCTTCAGCCTCCATCAAGCGCAGCTACTTCTATCTGGGACTAAAAATAACTGCTTGCCTGCACAGGTAGGGAAAGCCTCACAGAGCAGGAAGGGCACAACCCTTAGCAGGTGGCCGTTGTTGTGCTTCATTATGCAGCACGCTGTTACTAGGCAACAGGTCTTGCTCGGCCATTGGCCAGTGCCTCAGTGGGCCCGCCCACAAGCAACCAACTGTCCTCGAGCACCCTGGTAGATGTCCTGCTGGGCTACTGGTCAGCACCGAGTGGGCCCTGCCCACAGGTAATTGTCAGTGAGGGGCCACTGGGGAAATGAGTCAGTCAAAGGTCCATGATGCGGTGGTCATTAAGTGCAGAGTGAGCTAAGAAGCAGATTCAGACCTTCTCTTGAAGGTCTAGTGGGTGAGAGGTCTTGGGCTAGTGGGTGAGCGGGAGAGCTCAGGGAACAGACTGAGGTCTACATCCTGAGAGCTCCAGACCCTTATTAAGGCCTTCCACTAGCCGTGGCCCAGCCCTTGAGGTAGCGGTGAACCTCTCCCCCGTCCCTTTCTCTGTGATCTAATAGCAGTGTCTGTTTGTGTGAGTTGCAGTCTGTGAGACCTGGTCTTCCACTGGGTGGCCTGAGGAGACAGAGGGCCAGTTGGGTTGGATGCCTGGCTTCCTCAGGGATGACAGCTGGGCAGGATATGGGAACCTGGCCCGGAAGGAGCTGCCAACTGAGATCTGCCTCCTCTTAGCTAGGACTGGGACCTTGGAGGGTGACAGTTGCGCCTTGGGACTTTGCCCTTTCTTGTCAGGACAGATGATAACATCCATCTGGTAGAGACTTACAGGAACATCATTACCTGACCATGACTGGACCTCAAGAACAAAGGATCTGACACTGAGAAGTTTGCAACAGCCAACCGTGCCCATCCCTCACCTCTTGCTTTTAAAGGGACTTGCTGAAAGCTTTCAAATAACTTTGGGGTTCTTAAGGCATGAGCCACCCACCTCTGTACGAATCTGTAATAAACCTTTCTCTGTTTAAGACTATAATGTTTAGTATTGATGGGCTTCATTCTGTGTCAGGCACACGGACTTGCGATTTCAGTAACAATTTATGGCACCCCAGTTAGGACCTCTGTGCCCACAGCAGGTTGATCCTGGCCAGGGGCAGACCCTTCCCAAGTTCTCAGAAACTGCTCCAGGGAGTCTTCATTTTGCTCCAGGGAACTGGGAGGGATTCTCCCTGTCAGGCGCCAGCCACTCAAGGGATGAGGCTGTTTGGAGCAGAGAAATGTCCAGATCTATGGACCACATTTCGTGTCACCTGGAGTAAGTCACTCAAGCTTGTGCAGGCTGGGAATTCTGTCCACTCCAAAAAAATCCAACTGCCACTTAAACTTTTTTTTTATAAAGTCCAGTTTATTTTTTCTATTGCTGTTTCTGCTTTTGGTGTCTTATCTAAAATACCATGACCTAATCCAAGGTCATGAATATTTATTTATTTTAAGAGCTTTAGAGTTAAGCTCTAACATTTAGGTCTTTGATCCGTTTCAAGTTAATTTTTGTATCTGGTGTTAGCTTGGGGGTCCAATTTCATTCTTTTGCATTTGGATTTTTTTACTTATTTTTTACTAATCTGTGCTGAATCTTCATTGCTCCCTGGGCTTTTTCTGTCGTTGCGGTGAGTGGGGGCCACTCTCTAGCTGTGGCACATGGATTTCTAATTGTGATGGCCTCTCCCGCTGTGGAGCATAGCCTCGAGAGCATTCAGGCTTCAGTAGTTTCAGCACACCAGTCCAGTAGTTGCAGTTCCAGGGCTCTGTAGCACAGGCTGAATAGTTGTGGCGCAGGGACTTTGTTGCCCTGCAGCATGTGGGATCTTCCTGTATCAGGAATCCAACCTGTGTCTCCCGCATTGGCAGGCTCATTTTCCACCACTGAACCACCAGAGAAGTCCCTAACTGCCTGGAGTCCCTTTTGAAGAGCCTGGAGCAAAAGTAGAGGGTCAGGAGCAAAAGTAGGGTGCTGAGCCCCACCTTGGGGAGCAAGCAAACAAGGGAACATATTATTTGTTTTTGCTCCCCTATGCTGCAGCAGGGACCTCAATAAAGCCTTGCCTGAATTTCTTTTCTGGCCTCTGATCAATTTCTGTTGATTAAGAAAGGAGGCAAAAAAAAAAAAAAAAAAGGAGGCCAAGAACCTATCAAGCTTCAGGGGAAGGTCGAGGCCTGGGAGGACAATAACATCTGATATCCTCAGCGGGACCCAGATCTCCCCCGATTCACAGTTTCTGAAAAGCTGAAGCCCATAAGATAAAGGGTGTGGACAGAGAACAGGGTAGCAGGCGGCAAAAGCTTCAGGGTACCACTATGAGCAGGGGATCATGTGTCCTGGCATGGGAACTCATTGTCTTCTCATGTGGGGCTAAATTTTAAAAATAGCACCAATCTTAAAGATAAATTCATGTACTAAACAGGTATTTACTAGTTGTTTGAATTGTGTCAGCCATTTCAAAGCACCTGGGAAAAGTTAGTGAAAAATACTGAGAAACCACATGTCTTCCTTAAACTTATATTTGGGTGGTGTGAGACAATGGGAATAACATGAGGAAATTATAAAGTATAATCTAAATGGAGAAATACTATGGAAATCTACATATTCACATACATATTTATATCCATTACATTGGGGCTGTAGCCTAGAAAGCTTAATTTAGTGTGGAGCACTCTTGAGGGTAGTTTTCTGGTGAAACCTAAGATGGCGGTGGTAGGTGGAGGACTGGCGGAAGCATCTCTGGCAGAGGGCACACTCATAGGGCTTCTCTCCCGTGTGGGTTCTCTCATGAGCCCGAAGGTTGGTCTTGTGGGTGAAGGCCATTTCACAGGTGCTGCACGCGAAGGGCTTCTCTCCTGTGTGAATCCTCTGATGCACGTGGAGGTCTGATGCCTGGAAGAAGCCTTTGCCACACTCGGCACAAATATATGTCCTCTCATTATTGTGTCTTTTCTGGTGAACTCTGAACCGAGAGGAATACCTGAAGGTCTTGGGACATCTCTCACATCTGTACACTTCCGGGGCTCGATGGGATCTTTCCTGGTCTTCCCCACGTGCAGAAGTCCCCTCAGAGCTCTGACGTGCAGAAACAGGCTCAGGGGTGACCTGGTCTGGTTCCACCTCCATGAGGACATCTTGAGAAGAGGGTCCTTTCAGGAGTCTGTCCTGGAGCCTGAAGGGGCCTGGACTTGCTCCTCTTCTGGAGCTTCGTGGATTCTCCAGAGAAACGCCTCCTTCTTCCAGCCTCGGACGGTTCTCTTCTTGGACAATGAGTAGAGAAGGTATTAGATTGCTTGGACTAGTAATACTGTCATTTACTTGATGAGTTTTCACAGAAATATTGCCATCGTTTTCTTTATCTTCATTTCCTGTAGGGGGCGAAAAAGTGACTCAGTGAAGTTACACCCAAGAAAGAGTCCACATGGGCCACCCCGCTGGGACCTGGGCTCTGCCCACTCACTCTGTCCTGTTTCTAGGGACGTATCTTGCATAGTCCGGGATGGAGTCCTCATGTTCACCCCTCCTGTCGACAACTGATTGGTTAGATGAAAGATGATTTCTTTTAAGGGCATATTTTCTGAAAAGAGGGCTTCCTGCCCCTGCATGTGGACATGGACCTATTAAAAAAAAAAAAAAAAGGCGTGATTATTCACACATGGATCTACTATGTGATAAAGCTGGTTTTGGAAAGCCCGCCTCAGTCAGGCTTTCTCAATATCTTGTACTGTGGGCTCCCACACCTCTTTGTCCTGCCCTTGTTTCTGCTTGTATCAAATTTCGTGGTAATTTCTTTTTTAGTGTGTCTTCCATAATGAAAAAAGATGAATACTGAGAGTCCCTTGGACTTCAAGGAGATCAAACTAGTCAATCCTAAAGGAAATCAACCCTGAATATTCACTGGAAGGATTAAAGCTGAAGCTGAAACTCCAGTACTTTGGCCACTTGATGCAAAGAGCTAACTCATTAGGAAAGACCTTGATGCTGGAGAAGATTGAAGGCAAAAGGAAAAGGGGGCGACAGAGGATGGCATGGTTGGATGGCATAACCGACTCAATGGACATGGATTTGAGCAAGCTCCAGGAGATAGTGGAGGGAGGGAAGCCTGGCCTGCTGCAACCCGTGGGGTCACAAAGAGTCAGACACAACTGAGTGAACAATAACAAGGCTTTCTGAGGGAAGAACTAGCTCCTGTCAAGGAATTTCTCATCCCGGGGTTTCTGCCCAATTGACATTTTCTCAGTGGGGTCCTCTTAGCACTTCACCGATGAAAATCAATTACACTAATTAATATGTTGGTTCCTATATGCCTCACTGAACAAACACATAAAATGTTGATTCTTGCTTACATGGGGTAGTAAATATTTGTCTGGGTGAGGAAGAGTGATCTGACTAATAACTTGGTCTATAATAACTCTTCTTTCTCTTCTTCCAGGCACTGACAACTGAATGTATTATTTATTCCTTACTCCTTTCTGCCCCTCATCCCAGAGGTCAGAACGCTCCACTTACCAAGTCAGGTAACTTCATGCAGTCATCATGCAGATCTTCTGTGAATTTCTCCAGGTCTCCACCACTTGCTTCCCATTTCTCTTTCAAAGTAGACTTTTCACTGTAGTGCTTATTGATCATAAATTGTTCCAGGGCAAGTTGAAAAATAATTTCATCCTTGCTGTGTTTTTCTGGCTGCAGCCATAAATGAAATGACTTATAGAGTCTTTGCAGTTCCTGCCTTGCACATGAGTTATTGCCATTTTGCAATAAGCCGGGCTGAGTGTTCTGCAACTTAGAGATATCCCCTGCTGTTTGCAGTGTGGGTCCTCGCCTGGGGATAAAGTCTGTATTTGCTGACTTTGGGTCATCCTTGGATGGTTTACACTGAAATGATGCTCTGAAACCTAAATCCATTCTTGGCAATGCTTCTTATAGATTCAGCTGCCAGGATTTAGTTCTTGATGTCCTTTGTTTCTGGAGATCTGCTTTAAAACAACATCAGGACATTTATAAATAATATTTTATAAGTTTTCCTATTATTTTCTTATCTCACTATTTAGGTAACAATCAAATATTGCATAAATGCTGCATTTGTTGATAGTGTTGGATGCTTAAAGATTATACAATAGAAACAGGAGATTTGTATCTAATTATATATATCACCAGTATAATTAAAAAAGAAAGAGAAAGCATACATTTCAGGCTCAGATAACTTCACAGGTAAATTTTGAGAAACTTAAGAAAGTGATAACTCTAATAATACACAAATTCTCACAGAGCATAGGGAAAGAGGAGACATTCCTATTTTAATTAATGAACCTTCCTGATCATGAAACTTTACAAGTGCATTAAAGTAAGGACGACTACTGTCCAGTAATTTATATGAGTATAGATGTAAAAATCCTTAACTAAATATCTGCAAATGAAACCAAGTCATGTGTAAAGAAAGTATATTATGTGTAGATGAATTCTATGTTCTGCATTCATTTTGGGTTAAATTTCAAAAAGCCACATAATTTCAAAAATACCACATTAATAGAACTGAAAGAACATACTACCACATAAGCAGATACATTGAATATGTTTAATAAAAGTCAGTACTCAATCCTAAGAAAGACTCTTGCTAAGCTAGGAATAGAAGGACACTTTCACTGTGATAAAATAATTACAAAATAACTACAACAAAAATTACGCTTAAAAGTACAACAAAAATTTTTCTTAACAGTTTTATTCTTGGGATTGAGAGGTGGAAGTCCATTGTCAACTCTATACAACATATGACTGGTATCCAGCCAGTTACATAAGATCAGAAAATGTATCAAGGACTTCCATGGTGGTCCAGTGGTTAGGACTCTGTGCTTTCACTGCAGGGGACATGGACTCCATCCCTTGTAAGAGAGCTAAGATTGCATATGTTGCATGGCATGGCTGAAAACAATTTAAAAATGTAGAAAAGAAAATTATCAACTATTATTTATAGACGGCCCAATTTTGTTTGGGAAAAAACCCTAAATATCTACAAATATTAGACTAGATGAATTTAGCAAGGTGCCTTTTACAAAGTCAATATTCCAAAAGCAATTTTTATAAGAGAAACATAAAATTAAATAACTTTTATCATAATTTCCAACACTAAATACCTATGAACAAATCTAATGTAAGATATGCAAGTTATCTGTAGATAACTACAAGATAATAAATGCATGAAGAGAAAAGTCATATTTATGAATTGATTGAAAGGCTCAATATTATTGGAAATGCAAGTTCTCTCTGGATGGATTGTATAGTCAATGCATTTTCCAGGACAATCCAGAAGATGTGTGTGTGTGAGAGAGAGAGAAAACTGACAAAGCAATTCTAAATGACATGTAGCGAAAAGCCAAAAAATAGGGTATTTCTGAAGAATAAATTTGGAGGGAGACTTCCCTGGTGGTCCAGTGACCAAGACTCTCAGCTCCCAATGTAGGGGGCCTGGTTTCAACCCCTGGTCAGGGAACTTAGATCCCACATGCTGCAAATAAGACTCAGTGCAGCCAAACAAATAATAAATAAATATTAAAAAATATTAAAAAATAAACTTGGAGGATTTACACAATCAGATAGTAAAATACTATTGAAATTATAATAATTAAGATGGTGTCATAGTGCCACAAAAACAGAGCAACATAACAGAATAGTGTCCCAATACAGAGTGACATATATTCAGTCACCTGATTTATGGAAGACATAAGACTGGCTCAATATAATTAAATAAAGCATTAGTTGCTCTGTCCTATCTGACTCTTTGCAACCCCATGGACTGTAACCAGTCAGGCTCCTCTGTCCATGGAATTCTCCAGGCAAGAATATTAGAGTGGGTAGCCATTTCCTTGTCCAGGGGATCTTCCCGGAGGACTGAAACTGGGCTCCTGCATTATATGCAGATTCTCTACCATCGGAGCCAACAGGGAAGCCCCCAGTTAAAAAAGGCAATGATCTGTATAAAGTATGTCCTTTTAATTATTGTAAGAAAGTAAGATATTAGAAAAAATAGAGAAAAGTGAACCAAATAGAAGCAATAGGATGGAATCCATACACTTTACTTCTCTGTGCTGAAAACTGCATCAGGCACAGACATCTTGCTGGCCTTTCGTTTACATCACTGAGACACCGTTCAATGATACATCACTTAGGAAAATTTCCCTCATTGCATTTCCTGTTTTGTTTTTCCCTCCAAAGTTACTCTTCCTTGTGAACAACATTTATCTCTGCTTCACTGTGTTTATCAAATTTACAGCTTTATTATGGTTTATCTGTTTCTAATCCCTGCCCTTTACCACTGGTGTGTGGAAGCAAGTACAGATGGCACTATAGTTAATAATACAGAATTACATATTTGAAAGTTGCTAAGAAAGTAAATATTTTTAATTTTTAATTTTTGAGAGTAAATCTTAAATGTTCTCATCATCAGAAAAAAATTTTCACAACTATGTATGGTGATGATATTAATGATGTATTTTAGTGATTTTAATTAGCCATGAAAATAAGCTTTTTATTTAAAAAGTCGTGAAATTAAAAGACACTTGCTCCTTGGAAGAAAAGCTATCACCAACCTACACAGCATATTAAAAAGCAGAGACATTACTTTGCCAACAAAGGTCTGTCTAAGTCAAAACTATGGTTTTTCCAGTAACCACATATGGATTTGAGAGTTGGACCATAAAGAAAGTGAGCACCAAATAATTGATGCTTTTGAACTGTGGTGTTGGAGAAGACTCTTGGAGAGTCCCTTGGACTGCAAGGAGATCCAACCAGTCAATCCTAAAGGAAATCAGTTCTGAATATTCATTGGAAGGACTGATGCTGAAGCTGAAGCTTCAGTACTTTGGCCACCTGATGTGAAGTGACTTCGTGGAAAAGACCCTGATGCTGGGAAAGATTGAAGGCAGGAGGAGAAGGGGACAACAAAGATGAGATGGTTGGATGGCATCACTGACTTGATAGACATGAGTTTGAGCAAACTCCTGGAGTTGGTGATGGACAGGGAAGCCTGGTATCCTATAGTCTATGGGTTGCAGAGGCGGACACAGCTGAGCAACTGAATTGAACTGATTTTAGTGATTATTTCACAATATTATAAATATCAAATCATTATATTGTACATCTGAAAGTTTGTTTGATGTTTTGGGTTTTTTTTTTTTTTTGCACTGCTGGGCCCTTGGAAGTGAAAGCGTGGAGTCCTAACCACTAAACTGACAGGGAATTCCCCATTTGAAACTAATAATGTCATATATCAATTATACCTCACTAAGAAATGATTAAGTCCATCTTGTATATAATTTGCCTATTTTTGTGTCCTTTTCAATTTTCTATATGGTTAGTAATTCAAGGATTCATATATATATATATATATATTTTCAATTTTATACCATAAAACAAAAGGGCTTGGTGGGAGTATGACAGGCACACAGAAAACAAGTTGTTTTCTGTTGCATACCTGCGTGCTAAGTCATTTCATGTCCAACTTTTTTTGACCCCGTAGATTGTAGCCTGGTAGGCTCCTCTGTCCATGGGATTTTCCAGGTGAGAAGACTGGAATGGGTTGCCATTTCCTCCTCCAGGGCATCTTCCCCACCCAGGGATCAAATCTCTTAAATCTCCTGCATTGGCAGGCAGACTCTTTGCCACTAATGCCACCTGGGAAGCTCTGGTTTCTGTTAGTTGATGATATTTCACATTAAGCAGTCTGATCAGATCAACTGCCTTAATCTCATCAATAAAAAAGCAAAGATAAACCCAGAAGGACCCCATAGGAGAAAATTTAATACATTCTTTCCTTTTCTTAGTGCATTTATTACATACTGGCAGATGGCCCTATATAATGCTAATCCTCTAAGGACACCCCGTTTTACCATTCTTTTCTCTCAGGGAAAAGATCAAATCCTTCCTAGCAGCACAGGGCCTAGCTGGGGCATGCATTCCCCTGACCCACATCTCAGGTGTCTAGGTGGCTCTCCATATCCAAGGACCCTGGTCTTTCGTTACTTTTCTGTAGATCCCACGGCCTCTCCGTCTGGGCCTCCCACAAGTTTTTTCAGGACAACTCCAGGCACACACAGACCATCTGGTCACACTTGCAGACATGCACTCAACCCCACAGGGACACTGTGGGGCACTGAGGTTAAGACCTTGGAATTTGGGAATTCTCTGGAGGTCCAGTTAAGGATCTGCCTTGCAAAGAAGGGGGCACAGGATCAATCCCTGCTCCAGGAAGTAAGATCCTGCATGCCCCAAAGTGTGCCAGAGAGGGGAAGGGAAGAAAAAGAAAGAAAGAAGTGTCTTCCATCAGGCCAGGGCTTTAAACAGAGTTCATAACATCAAACTCTCTGGGGCCAGAGAAGTTGTCAAAAAAAACATCCTCTAAGCTTGGAAAAGTGGGCTTCCCATGTGGCTCAGTGGTAAAGAATCCTCTGGCCAATGCAGGAACTACTGGCGATGTAGGTTCCATCCCTGGGTGGGGAAGATCCCCTGGAGAAGGAAATGGCAACCCACTCCAGTATTCCTGCCTGGAGAATCCCATGGTCAGGAGAGCCTGGCTACAGCCCATGGGGTCACAAACAGCTGGACACGATTGAGTGCCTGTACCTGAAAGCTTGGAAAAGCCGGTTCCTATGAATTTTCCCCACATACGAATGCACTGAGCTTTGGCTCGAGTACAAAGTTTAAAGTTTTCCCTTTGTCCAGGAAACTCACCTCCTCCAGAAGACTGAACCTCAAGCTGGGTGATCCTGGGCTGACAGCTGAGGACTCTTCACCGTGTGACTTGCTCTCTGAACTGGGTTCATCTGGTCTGCCTTCCCAAAGCTCCTCCCTTTTATAGGGCCTAGACCAGTAACGCATTCAAAGACATGATTGGATAAAATGTGCCTGTTGATGCAATCTTTGGAATTTTCATCCAGCTCCAGCTTTCTATAGTTAAACAAACTAATAGTTCTGCAGTGAAGTGTAACAACACGCACACTAATTGGAGGTATAAAGTTTAGTCTCATGTTCTGGTCAAGTTTTCTTTTTTAAATAAAGAACATTTCATAAATATGTCTGTTGTTCTTGCTCAGGGGCCATGCTAACCATCTCTGTATTATTCCAATTTTAGTACCTGTGTTGCCTCAGTGAATACTGATCAGGTTTTGTTCTAAGTGAGTGTAATAGAAACTTTAAAAAAAATGCATTTATTTATTTTTGGCTGTCCTGGGTCTTTATTACAATGCCCTGGCTTCTCATTGTGGTGGCTTCTCTTGTGCTCCACAGACCTCAGTAGTTGCCCCACACGGGCTTAGTTGCTCCATGGCATGTGGGATCTTCCCGGACCGGGGAGCAAACTGGTGTCTCCAGCATTGGCAGGTGGGCTACCCACTGTACCACCAGGGAAGCCCCTTTGGTACCACTTGCTAATTTTCCAGGACTTGTGGATCACGAGCGAGCCAGAGAACAAGGTTAATATTCTTTCCTCCTGTGCTAGTCTGGGGCTTGTGAGTCAGAGGGTTGCCCCAGGACCCCACCGGAGAGGTTCCTAGTCCAGCAAAGTTGCAGGGGCTGAAACTAAGATCATTTCAGTGGGAAGAGAGAGTGTTGATTATTTTACACTGACAAAGTACATCATTTGAGAGACTGAATGTGAGGACTGAGTGTGAAGTTGGAGTTTTAATGTTCTAAGGCTCCTGGTTTAAAAACTGGCTGTTGGCAGGGTCATGTACTGAGTAGGAAGAAAGGCAACAGGGGTGCCCCCAGGTCCCACATGCCTCAACCAGGAGTTCTCATGCGGCAACTAAAGATCCCGTGCACCTCAGTGAAGACTGAAGATCTCATGTGACATGACCAAGACCTGGTCAGCCAAATAAATAGCCTTTAAAAAAGAAAAAAAAGAAAGGCAACAGGAGGAGATTCTTTGGAACTCCCCACCTCCCTTTCCCAACTCACGTGGAGTGAGTGACCACCCATATAAGATGAGGGAGAGTAAGAGTATGGAAAACAAAACGATTGTATTTGACAAGAAAGGGACCAGTGCAATAGCCTGGTCATTATCTGTTCTCTTCTTTCAGTTGGATCCAGGATCAAACCACTTTTCACCCTTCCACTGCCAGGACCCTCAGTCCTGTCAACTAAAATTCAATTAACAATTGAGAAGAAAATGGAAACTTTTATTCAAGTCAAACTGAAGGTTATAACCCAGAAGACAGGATTTCAGAATCTCTGAGAACTGTCGCACCTGTTAGAAGTCGAAGGCACAGTTATATACATTTTTGAGACAAATGACAGTACATCAAAGTGACATACAGACATTTTACATAAACTTCACTAACGCTACAGGGTCCAGGTCAGCACACGTACAAGGCAAGCAACAAATCCCTAAGATTCCTACAGAGTTGGGAAACAACGCTGATCCTTTAAGACAGGAGTCCCCAGTCTCCAGGATCTAATGCTTGGTG